AGCCCCGACTGGTGGAGGGCTGCAGTGATGGTTGACTTTCTACAACTTTCTCCCATCTCCCGACTGCATCTCTGGAGCTCAGTCACAGTCATCTGAAGAAATGGACAGCACCTAAGTTAAATATATGAGTGTCACAGCAAAGGGTCTGAATACTTATGACCATGTGATATTTCAGTTTTTCTTTTTTAATAAATCAGCAAAAATGTCAAATTCTGTGTTTTTCTGTCAATATGGGGTGCTGTGTGTACATTAATGAGGGAAAAAATGAACTTAAATGATTTTAGCATATGGCTGCAATATAACAAAGAGTGAAAAATTTAAGGGGGTCTGAATACTTTCCGTACCCACTGTATATAAACTATACTTCACATACAGGAGAAGGAGAAGCCACATGAGGGCGCTCGACCCATGAGAGCCATTTTCCTATCGGATGGCAACATCCTCACCACAGGTTTCAGTCGCATGAGTGAGAGACAGCTAGCCCTGTGGAACATGGTAAGCTGCTTCAGGATTGTTGACCCCACTACATAAGTCCAGACATGATGGGCTCGACATTTCTCATAATATTCAGTTTGTGTGAAATGTAGTTCTTTTTGTTCAGAGAACAGGTTTTTCCTTTAAGTCATCAGTAAAAATGAAGCAGTGTACACATTAAATGAGCACCATGTTCACACTTTTATTGCTATGGAATCTACTGCATTATTCATAACTAATGTACAACCATGTAGGCTAACACCCACCTCTTCCTGTTTCTTGAAGATTCTTACCATTTCTGTATTCATAGTCTTTCCACAGGTGTCAGATTAATAATTATGCTTTTTTTCTAGCAAAACTTGGAGGAACCCATGACTGTTAATGAGGTGGACACCAGTAATGGAGTGCTCTTGCCATTCTATGACCCAGACACCAATGTTGTTTACCTCTGTGGGAAGGTAAATTTCATTTTCCAGCACTCCATCAAACATTATTATAACACAGAGCCAGAAGTCTGAATTTGATTTCCACTAGCTAAATACATACATTCATGGCCAAAAATATTAGCACTCCAGCATTTCTGTCAGATCATTCACCACTTCTCCCAAAAAAATTGTTGCAATCACAAATTCTCTGGTATTCTCATGTTTATTTTTTATTTGTATTGGAACAACACAACAATGCAGAGGGGAAAAAAAGCCAAACTTGATACATTCCACCTAGAACTCTTAAAATGGGCTGGACAGAATTGTTGACACCCTCAACTTCATAATGGGTAACACACCCTTTGGACAAAATAACTGAAATCAATCACTTCCAGTAACCATCAGAGTTTCTTACACTTCTCTACTGGAATTTTGAACCATTCTTTTTTGCCATCTGCTCTGGGTCTTTCAGATTTGAAGGGTTCCTTCTCCCAACTGCTGTTCTGAGGTCTCTACACAGGCATTCTATGGGATTTAGAAAACATCTTGACAATGTTGCGCACACTGGACACAGAAACAGCCAGATCTCTGGAGATGGACTTGTAGCCTTGAGATTGTCCAGGCTTTTCCACTACTGTGGTTCTCAAATCCTCAGACAAATTCTTTGCTCTTCTTTCTTTTCTCCATTCTCAGTGTGGTCCACATGACACAAGGCTTGACTCAGCTTTTCTCCATTTTAACTAGTTGCATGTTTGATTTCTTTACTGCCAGGACCTGTTGGTTGCTACAGGTGAGTTTCATTACAAGTTAAAGGAGAACCACCTGCTTGAAATAAAACTATTTCAATAGTTCTGTATAGTCCATTTTTGGAGTTCTGTGTGGAGCGTATCAGATTTGGCTTTTTTTTTCTTTGCTTGTTGTTCCAATGCAAGGAAAAGAGATGAACATGAGGACAGCAAAGAATTTGTGATTGCAACAATCTTATGGGAGAAGTAGTGTGTTATCTGACAGAAATGCAGGGGTGCCAATATTTTTGGCCATGACTATAAATAAAATTCTTCTTTCTTCCCTGACAGGGTGACAGCAGCATCCGTTACTTTGAAATCACAGATGAGGCTCCATATGTTCACTTCCTCAACACCTTTGTCTCCAAGGAGCCCCAGAGGGGCATGGGCTACATGACCAAGAGGGGCCTTGATGTGAATAAGTGTGAAATTGCAAGGTAAACTAAGACAAATTGTTAAAAATTCCCTGTTCTAAAGCTGTTTTTTGCCTTTGTTTAATAAAGCACTGAACTGCGGGTAATTGGCTTGCATTTGTATGTTGCCAGGTTCTATAAACTGCATGAAAGGAAGTGTGAGCCTATTGTGATGACTGTACCTAGAAAGGTGAGTCCTCATGCTAAGTGGCCATGGTTACTGATGTCTGATCTACCTGTTCCCTCAGCAGCCTAGTGAAGCCTTGGTTATAGAGCGTTCCTCACACCCTGTCGCTGTGTCCTTTCCCCTTCAGTCGGACCTGTTCCAGGACGACTTGTACCCAGACACAGCTGGCCCGGACCCTGCCTTGGAGGCTGAGGAGTGGTTTGAGGGCAAGAATGGAGACCCCATCCTCATCTCCCTCAAGAATGGCTATGTCCCGGTCAAGAATCGTGAATTCAAGGTGGTAAAAAAGAACATTTTGGACAACAAGGTGACCAAGAAAACAGAGCACTCAGACCCTGCCACCAAGGCTGCCTCTCCGACTCCATCGATTGTGAGTGTTTGTTTTTCCTCAGCTCTCCAGATTGTCTGTCTGATAAATGCAACCAATATTACATCAGATGGTCAGTTCACACAGTAGAGTAGGGCAATATGGATATTTTCTTAAGCTCACACTTAAGCAAATTGATGAGGAACTTCATTGTGAACTGTTTGGACTGACACTAAAGATTATTTTCATTATCTTTTGATCTGCCAACTATTTTCTCAAATTATCATTTGGTCTATAAAATGGCAGAAAATAGCATAAGTGCACAAGCTGACTTCTTGATAGAACTAGGAAACATTTGTTGTTTTCTTAAATGTTTAATTTGGTTAACTCACACCACCATCTCAGACATTAATGCCCCTCGCTACTGGCCTCTAGCCCTCTAGAGGTCGTAGCGTTAGACAAACTGTACGTGTAAGAAGCAGGGCAGGTTGCTGGCTGTGTTCACTAGGCGGTTTATAGATCTTGATAATTCACTCTTACCCACAAACTGAGGGGTCTGTTGCTGCTCTGGGCGTCCTGCCGCACTTCACCCACAACATAGTCAACCTCCTGGGACCCAGCCCGTGTGCGTTTACAGTTCTGTAATCACAGGCCACTGGGCTCCAGCACTGGCAAAACTTTTTTTTCCTTCTTAATCCTTATTTAGACAGGGTACGTTTACTGAGAGGCTAACTCTCATTTGCTGGAACGCCCTGATCACATTCACACAGTTACACCTGGAAGCTGCCCAGTACAACCACAGACTGACCTGCTGGCCACTGGTTCAGGGCCTTGCTCAGAGCCATTACATGAAGGTGGGGCAAGCATGGCTTTCCCACCAGACCCGCCCAGTTTTAATCCTGTTGGTCCAGGGATTGAACCAGCAACCTTCCTGTAAGCTCACTTCTCCAACCTTCTCCTTCTCCAAGGCCTTAACCCTTAGAGCACCAGGCCTTGCTACATGGACTGTAGGTGGTGCTTTTGCCACTGGAGTTGTCTTGTGTTCTGTTGAGATGTGCCTTAGGTTAGAGAGTTGTTCAGCTGTGACTGTAGTTGTGTGCTGGTTTCACAACAAGGTGGCTGTAGCAGTTTTTTGATATTAATGGTTATTTCTTGTGTCTCCCACAGAAATCTGAAGCCAAGCTGGAGGAGATCTTGAAAGAAATCAAATCCCTCAAGGACCTGGTCAGCAGTCAGGAGAAGCGAATCATCAAACTTGAAGAGCAAATGTCTAAAATTGCCATCTAAGGAACCTGTACCCAACCCACTACAATTCAGGACGTTCCATTGGCTGGGAGGCGGGCAGGACTGGTCACTGCCTATCTCAATGGCAGTGTTTGGTCCAAGTCCCACCGAGCACCAATCCCTAGCAACATTCCAGATGAACCTTTTCTTAGGCAGCCCCCACCCCTCAGTTTATTACATGTGGAATAAGGACATGTGGCAAATTTAGCAGAGAATACTGAATACTTTGTGTCAACAAAGGACTTCCCTTTTATTCTGTGGCAGTCTTTTTATTTTATCTACTTGTATAAAAAGGTCTTACATAATTACTTTAGTTTTAGAATAAACTCTCGTGTCAACAGTTCCAAATAACCAGGGTATACCCAAATATTTTTTTAAATAGGCATCAGTGTTTCATGTTACCATATATCCCAAAATTATGTTGCCAAATTTGAAATTTTGTTTACACCTCCTTAACAGTATTTCTTTCAAAATACAAATGAGGATGCTCTGTCTAGTAGCCTGCTTTATGAAAAGACGAGGATTTCATCAATTAAAATGATTTAAATAAATTGAATAATTATGAATGGAAGATTGACATCCAGTAATTAGAAGGAAATAAATTTTGATTGAAGACATTTAGCTGCCACAGTCCAACATCAAACACTCAGATACTTTATAAATGACATATTCTTGCTGTCTGTGTTGAAGCTGCACAAATCGGTTCCTGCTTTCTGCCATTTCTTTTTGTTCCTCTTGCTCTCACCATTCTGACTGTGGACCCAGTTGTTCACATAAACATGCATTCCTTTCTACCTTGTTTCATTAACATGTGCTTATTGGAGAAAACAACTAAAGCATTCCACAAATCTCAGTAGCACTTTTTGGTGTAAAGGAAGAAAAAAGATTTTGACTGTAGTGATTTGGTTACACTGGTTGATTGTCATTGTGACACTTTGTGCTGACTATGGAAGGATCAAATTTTTAACCTTTGAGTGGGAAAATGTCTGTCAGCTCTTTGGTTCTGTGAGAGGTGCAGTCACCAACCTCAGTGTTTAGTATCCATGGGCTTGCTCGGCACACAGGCGTAGTCAAGTGTAGTTGGGATTATTTATTGTCACTGTTCCTTTGCATTATATGCCATCTCACATCTGTGTTTTCTGAAAAAACAAAAGAGGAACTGATATAAAATGACACCAAGTGATAAAACTGGAGATTGCTACAGAAACTTAAATGGCCTAGATTCTGTGTGAATGTGTCTTTGGCCTTTTGGGCACCCCTCACTGTGGGCGTTCCTGCTTTGTTTCTTATTATGGGTGGGTGGGTGGGGTAAAATTGATTCACAGTTGAACATCCAAGGCTCGCCTCTGACTTGGACAAATTGAATAGTTGGGTTATTACTTCACTGTTAATTTTAGCCTGTTTCTTGTTCCAGCTGTTCTTGTATCCCTCTCAGCACTTCCACTTCTTGCTGGTTTTTAAATGGGTATTTCTCAGATTCCCCAGATCAGTATAAAATAAGCCACCCATGTCCAGCCTGAGCTGTTTTGTTCCGATAGAAGTGCTATTTTCTCGATGCTTTAGATTTGTTTCCCAGTGGGAAGCTGAGACGGGTAATGGTTGAGTCTGTTGTTTGCCTTCAGTAAATATTACTAAAGACCTGAAAGTGCCATAGAGGTGACCATGGAAGTGTTTTGAGAGTAGTAGTTGTGTAGTAAATGGGAGATGTGATACGTGCCCAGATTTAAAACCACTTTGTGGTGCTATAGTTGGTAAGAACACCGTATTCCTAAAGTACTGCATGTCAGCTCTGTGGATGACATCATGAAATCCTGCCAGATAAAACCGCAATACACCAGGCAGCATTACCGCTCAGGGTTTGCACCCTTAACATTTTGATACTTTTCACTTTGGTACAGAGCATCTTAAACACTGATGCAACACCGAGAAGCTGTCGCCTGGGCTTTCGGCCCTTTGAGTTATTGTGGCTTGACGATCCAATATGAGCAGTGAGTTGTAGAATATTAGTGACAGGAAACGCTATAGAAATGCAGGTCTGACACAAATTACATTGCCCTGTCTTATATATCAGACTGCTACTCTATGGATTCTTTCTTGGCACAACATCTGCGTTTTGAGGAGGAGTAGTAGTGTATAGCGATTCAGGGACACTGTAGGTTGGAGAAATGTGCAGCTGAGAGATAGATGTATGTGTGTAATTAAGGTCTAGAAAAAGGAGTGAAAGCTGTGTAAATACCATGACCATATTTTCTGTATTTTTTTTTTCCCCCATTTTGTGGTTGTGCTGAAGAGGGTGTTTGTATGGGAGGTGGGTTTTAAACGTTTCCCCTAGCCTGTGTCCTCTGCACCTTGCCATAATGCATCACGAGAAAAGCAGAACCTCTTCTACTGGGAGTCGTATGGATATCAAGAAAGAAAATCGCCTCATGTGGGGGTCTGCTCGGCATTTGTGTTCATTATTCTTGCTTCAAGTATCAAACATTGATTATAAAAAAAATTAATAAAGAATTTTTAAAACAGGCTCATCGTACAGGTTTGAAATGTGCTAATTTGTTTGCTTATCTTTTGCATTCAGCCATTACTGCTTTTAGGATTGTCTTCACTGAAAACTCCCTGTGAATAGTCAAGACTGACATTATCCAGTATTCTTGCCAACAAACCCCATGAAAAGTCCAAAGCCAATATATTAGTCGTTGTCTCTTGTTGCTTCACAACTTTGTCAACCTGTCTGTGGCACTGGGCTCCAAGCCCAGTTCCTCAGGAGACCTGAGTCTTTATAAACACTCCACAAATATACAAAAGCTGGGTGTTGCAGTTTTTGTAAATTGTTACTCAAATAGTTGTAAAAGATGAAATGAAAAGCTGAAGTTGGGACTCAGCATCCACACAATTAATATAGGCTGATTTTATTTAGAATAAACCTACAACTTTGCTCCCAGAATCTATTTTCATAATGTGTTGAAGCCTCCACACACCAGTAGCCCCACTGCTGAGATCTCAGGACTGTTTTATCCAACCAAAGAGGCCTATTCAGTTTTACTATCATGACAAAAAACATCAAGGCAAACACCACTGGTTAAGATGGAAACGGCTAATGTTGCAACTACAAATCCATTTTTAATGAAAAAGAATGACAAATAACTGACTAGAGTCTGACAGAACGGTGAACAGCAGCCTGTTTGTGGTCAGACAATGTGGACACAGTCTCTTCCCAGCAGCACACAGCTTTAGATTCTGAACCAGAAACTCAGCAGAGAGGACATCTGAATCGCACCAAGTTTGAAAATTCATTCCTTGATCTATATCATAGTGTATGTCTTTGTTTAAAAACAAACATGAAACTAATAATTTCTTGAATGTTAACTTTTCCTGGTAATTTTGCCTTAAGTAGAAAGGCCTTGTTACTAAATATAATCTTTAACATTAGGTTCCTGCTGCTTTGTCATCTGGTTAAGATAGTCAGCCACAATGTATGCTTTTATTTTCATATATCCATCATAATCTGATATGTTTATGTTACCTTAATGTTTTTAAAAAGCCATGGAGCTACCAGTGTGCAGAGCTTCTGATGGTACCCCCAGGAGTCATCAGTCTTAATAATGTGACTCTTGGAGCTTTTAAGCTGAATACAAAAAGAATAGCTGAAGATTTGCTGAATTGTTTAAAGGTTGAATGTTTTTTTTCTAGCTGAAAGTGTGCTGAAGCTATAAAGGCTGAAAGAGGAGGAAGATTTGAAGATTCTCCCATTCATCTGAATGGGAAAAATTGGTGAAAAAAAAACCCTGAATATTTTAAAAAGTATACAGATTATAA